TAGCATTATTTTAAGCTATTTTATGTAATAAATGTTGCAATTAATATAGAATGCATTCTTTTACTGAATGGTAATAATATGTTTAATTTGTACGTCATTTAATTGCTTAGTGTTGACATAAGGTGTGTTGACATACCATGCACATTCTCGTGTTACATAATGTTGTGTGTTGACATACCATGCACATTCTCGTGTTACATAATACAGCACACGTCCTCCTGTGTTAAGTAATAGAATATGTACACATGAAATCCTTTTACAAACATTATATGTGAGATTATGGGGTACAAATGGAGGAAAAATAATTCGTGCACTCAATTGATTTGGGTTCCCACTGATCTTATTTAAGTAAACATGTTGTAAGGGAAATGCAGTACCAGAAAATTAAGGAGGAAAATGTTATTCATAATTTATTTGGTGGCACAGAACAGTCTGAGAAACATTTTTGATATAGGGTATACTTAAGCAGTATAAATGATGATTATCATTACAATTTTGAAGTCCTTGGACAGCATGAAATTTGTTCCAAGATCCCTATTCCAAAACTAAAACCATTTGTTAAAGAATGGTATTGTTATGACAGATGAATTAATCCTTGGAAATGATAAATCATTAGAAATCGATCTGTTAGTAGGGGATGACTTAGCGGGAAAGCTACATTAAACGTCATGGAGCTACATGGAAAAGTAATACATTAGCTGTGCAGACTAGTGGCCGTTAGAACACTGTTAGGATGGACTTTAATGGGAAAGATACCTTATCTAGATACTGATGATAATTCTTCAATGATAGTGACAAATATGCTTGCTTAATGATGCCACTCTCCCAGAACTGTGGAGACTTGATGCTATCGGAATAACAGATCTGGTCATAAAGAAGACGAGAGAAGAAAGGGATTTACAAGCAAAAATGCAGTTACAAAACTCTGTATCACTAAACAAAGGGGGGGGCATTATGAAGTCACACTTCTGTGGGCTTAAAATCATATGCCAGTCCCCACCAATAAGGATTTAGCCTTGAAGTGTTTAGAATCTACCACCCAGAAACTTCTCTCGCAAAATTTATTTTCTCCAGACAATGCAGTTTTTAATGACTGGTGTAATTTAGGGATGATCAAAGAAGTTACAGAAAATGTAGCTGCTGACTATGGACACTATTAAAGAAACTATAGACACACTTAAAGACTATGGACACATTTAAAGAAAATAGCTCAGTACCAATTCAGCGGATGTTTGATGCATCTGCGAGAAAACAATCATCTCCCTCTTTAAATTAGTGTTTGGAGTGTGGTCCAAATTTGATAGAACTAATTCCTTCTCTTCTGTTGAAATTTTGTGAAGGCAAGTTTGATACTATAGCAGACATTGAAAAGACTTTTTTTACAGATACGCGTAAAGACTCAAGTTAAAGATTGGCTTCGATTTTTTTTCTGCAGAATGAAGTGGAAGGGAAAAAAATGAAAATATTTCGTCTGAGGTCACGAGTAGTCCTTCACTTTTAACAGAATTCCATCTACAAAAGTACATGAAAAATGCTCAATATGATATGGAGATGACAGATAAAATCTTGCATAGACTGTACATAGATAACATTGTTGCCAGTTTTGATAACGAATCCAAGATGATTCAGTTCATTGAAAAATCTCAAGAAATAATGTATGAAGGAAAGTGTTTAATCTTCGAGGTTGGTTATGTACTAGAGATAACTTAAAAGAGAAAACTATTTCACCCATATTGAGCCTGTTATAGAACTCTCAGAAAGACAATTTAACTCTGAATCTGAATTGGTTTGATGATTTTAAAATGAATGGAATAACGAAGGAAACAATTCTCGCTGTAACACAAAATATTTGATCCTATTAGAATTATGAGTCCTGTTCTCTTGTATCTTGAAATATTGTTGCAGACCTATGGAAAATAGGAATTTCTTGGGATACTGAAGTCAACAAGACTACAAAACAAAACTTTGTGAATTGGTATAAAGGTCCCTTTCTCTTAAAAGAAATCTCCCACTTACGATGGGTACATTACAGCAATGACAATAAGAAGTTCTTCAGCATTCACAGAAGCGACAAAAATTCTGGACTTGAAGTTAATCTTTTGGCATCAAAGTTTAGAGTAGTTCCTGTTAAGTCTATAACGATTCCTCATCTAGAATTAATAGCTGCCACAATAGGAGCCAAATTGTGCTCTTCTGTTTTAAATGGTTTACAATGGCAAAATGTTGAAATGCATTTTTGGATGGATTCTACAACACTTTTGACGGGAAGTCAAAAGGAAGAGATTGTCTGGACTGTCTTTGCGGAAAACAGAGTCAAAGAGATTAGAAAACTGACAGATCCAAATGCTTGGGAAACACATTTGGTTCTGTCACAAACAAAAAAACCCAGCTGACCTTCCATTAAGAGGTTGCACCACCAAACAACTTTTGGAAGTCAGATGGTGGGAGAGCCCTGATTGGCTGAAAAAAAATCAGGAAAAATGGCTAAAATCAAAACTGGTCTATAACCACGAAGAAATAACTCATGAAATGAGAAAAAGATGTAACAAAAACTCATTTAAGCATAGAAACTGAAGCAATCTTCCACAGAATTTCATCATTTGAAAAACTCATTAGAATAGTTGCTTGGATGTTTAGATTTTACTTTAATCTAAGATCTAAAGCGTCAACATGCTCTGGTGACCTAACTGTAAAAGAAATCAGCCAAGCTGAACTTCTGTCCAACGAGAAGAATTTCCTGATGGAATAAATTATCAATCAATAAAACCTTTTTATCCAGTACTTGACGAAAAGGAATTAATAACAGTACAAACACAGATCTTCAGCAGAAAAGATAAGAACAATTTTCGGTTACCAATAATACTGTCATCGAAGCATAGAATTGTGCATATGCTCATTGCATGTAACCATAAGGAACTTGCACATCCAGGGGTTCAAATATTAATGAATCACCTTTAAGGAAATTATTGGACTTTACAAAGTCGCAAAACAATTTGACAAGTTACCTTGAAATGTGTTCGATGTAGACAATTCACCGTGACTTATTCAGAACCCAAAAGCCACTTTTTTTGCCAGAAAACTGAGTAAAGGATGCTGCTATATTTGAAGTCACAGGTGTGTATCTCCCAGGGCCACTGTATTTGAGGGATAAAACAAAGGCCTGGACAGTTTTATTAATGTGCGCCATATATTGGGCAGTGCATATGGAGCTAATAACAGCTTTAACAGCAGAAGCCCTTCTGCTCTCATTGAGAAGATTTATAGCACACAGAGGTAGACCGACTGTTATTTATTTGGATAATGGAAGTAACTTTGTAAAAGCTCACAGTGAACTCTGCAAAGTTGACTGGAAGAAAATAGAGGCTGAATCTACACTGAAAAAAATAACATGGAAATTCATTCCCCTATCAGCTCCTTGGTGGGGCGAATGGTGGGAGTGATTGATCGGCATGGTCAAACAGATTTTGCACGGAGTATTAAGTCAAGCTTCACTTAATTACGAAGAATGTGCAATACTGAAAGTCTGATAAATTCACGACTTTTGGCATACTTGTCTGAAGATGCTAACGACTTAATTGCTCTTTCTCCTTCGATGTTCCTACAAGAGAACAAAGAAAGTGGAGTACCAAACACTGATAACATTGATGCTTTGCATGTGTGTAAAAGACATCTATACTTGCAGAAGCTACATAGAGATCTAAGAAAAAGATTTCGACTAGAATACCTTGGATATCTAAAACATGTTAATCTTTCCAAAATTGTTTCCAAACCGATTTCTATTTGAGATATAGTATTCATCAGTTCTGATAAGCTGAATCGTCTGCAATGGCCGACTGCATGAGTTGTCAAAGTCCTACCTGGAAAAGATGGTGCTGTCAGAATTGTAAAATTGAAAACAAAATCCAGCATCATCACAAAACCTATACAACATGTTTATCCTTTAGAACGATCAGATGATCTTGAAGGTCTTGTTTTGACATGCAAAGCCCATAGCAATTGTGAGCCAATGACTAAAAGTGATGACTCGAACAGTCATGTTCCACTAGAAGGACAATCAGAATCCTCAAGTCACAGTCACTCGTAATGGACGTACTGTGAAACCTGTTCATAGACTACAACTGCGACATGTGCGACAGTAGGCTGTGTTCCAGAATTCAAGGTGGGTGGATGCCACTGCTGAGCCAACTTCTTGGCAGTTTTCCTCCCTCATGAACTGAAGTGAACTGAAGACTAAAATAAACCAGAGAGTCAAAAATGAATGGAAGAAGAAATAAACGATGCTAATCATATTTCTAATTAATCTCCTTCTATCATTTAAATTTTTCGTAAATTGTAGATAGTAATAAAGTATGTTGTTTTGCTAAAAGGAAGTCTCCCATTTTTAGTCACCTGGACTTATGAATTAGAAAATCATTCTGTCAGCCGTTCACCGTGAAGAAAAGGTAAGTTTACCTTTTGATATATTTTTATTAATCTTCTAAAACTGCTACATGCATATTATAAATGGTGCTATATGAAGAATGCATGAAAATAAATGAAATGTCAGTTCATAAACTAGCTTCTATATGGCTTTATTACATTTAAATAACTAAATGAAATATTAAGTAATTTACAACATGAAATATATTTCTTTTCAGACATTACTGAAAAATAATTATATATATACACACACATTAAGCATATTATTTAATATTACTTAAATTATTTTAGATTATTACCATAGGTTTTGAACTGTTTTTTACTTTGTATTCATCCTTGACATATATATTATATACAGTCAATTAATCAGTCTCTCTATCTGCTGATCTAGACAAACAGACAGAAATTTAAAAAAAGATAAAATAATGTAACTTAAAACTTAACCTTTAAGTTACATTATTTTAAAGCACAATAAAACAAAATATATGAAAAAGATAGTGATATAATGAAAACTCTGAAGAAAAAACTGGCACTGATTTTTAAAAGCAAAAGCAATTAAAAATTATTTTGCTTTAACATACCCTTCGTTTCTGAGCTTTACTCAGTTTTTGAGATCCTTCTGAAATCTGGCTCTTATTTTCTGAAGCATAGAAACCAGGAAGTTGAGACCCATCAGTTGTTCTCACATCTTGTACTTCTGAACAATCAACAGAAGTTTCACCCATGGCATCTGAACCATTTGAAGTTGCAAGTTCACTTACATTTTTACCCTGTAAGATTATACATAGGAATACATATAAAAATGCATGAAAGCATTCAAAAGAATATATGGAAGATAAAAAAAAAATTCTGCAACCTACAGGTCACTATGCATTTCAGTCCAATAAAAAAGTTGGAAAAATTTTGGAGATGTGTAGCAATGTCACGTACAAACAAATCACAAAAAATAAAATACTTAAAAAAATATCAGGTATATCCTTTTTATATAAATGCATAAAATATATGCAGATACTACTCTATTTCATTGTTTATTACCAAAAATAAGCATAAATCTATTATCAATGCAATGTGCCACTTAAGAATGCTATCTATAGTATATAATTTTCCTATGAAACCAAGTAAAGCATCCAAAGCATCTTCTAACTGCAAGTCAAATTCCTCACACTGGAGTGTCTTAAAGTGGTTTTATTATTTATTCCTGGCTACATCATCATTTTCTCAGTTTTTTACTGTGAGTAGACATGGGAATTTATCCACATAATATCATACACTGTATAATAATTATCACTTTCTTTTAAATTAGAATTTTCCATGTGATGCATACTTCACTTCTAAGTGGGAAATTTCTGATGACGTAATTTTATGTAGTTTCAAAATACTCTCAAACAAATGAACAAAATTCGGCTTTTTAACCATATTTTAACATTTTTAGCTATTCCCAAGTACAGTTTCATATATTTTCATCCTCTTTCTAATTTTCCAAATGATAGTAATATCTGTCAAATGTTCAAATTTTTTATTACTAAAGGCTTGATGCTATTTCATTGTTTATTACCAAAAATAAGCATAAATCTATTATCAATGCAATGTGCCACTTAAGAATGCTATCTATAGTATATAATTTTCCTATGAAACCAAGTAAAGCATCCAAAGCATCTTCTAACTGCAAGTCAAATTCCTCACACTGGAGTGTCTTAAAGTGGTTTTATTATTTATTCCTGGCTACATCATCATTTTCTCAGTTTTTTACTGTGAGTAGACATGGGAATTTATCCACATAATATCATACACTGTATAAATAATTATCACTTTCTTTTTTAAATTAGAATTTTCCATGTGATGCATACTTCACTTCTAAGTGGGGAAATTTCTGATGACGTAATTTTATGTAGTTTCAAAATACTCTCAAAACAGATGAACAAAATTCGGCTTTTTAACCATATTTTAACATTTTTAGCTATTCCCAAGTACAGTTTCATATATTTTCATCCTCTTTCTAATTTTCCAAATGATAGTAATATCTGTCAAATGTTCAAATTTTTTATTACTAAAGGCTTGATGCTATTTCATTGTTTATTACCAAAAATAAGCATAAATCTATTATCAATGCAATGTGCCACTTAAGAATGCTATCTATAGTATATAATTTTCCTATGGAACCAAGTAAAGCATCCAAAGCATCTTCTAACTGCAGGTCAAATTCCTTACACTGGAGTGTCTTAAAGTGGTTTTATTATTTATTCCTGGCTACATCATCATTTTCTCAGTTTTTTACTGTGAGTAGACATGGGAATTTATCCACATAATATCATACACTGTATAATAATTATCACTTTCTTTTAAATTAGAATTTTCCATGTGATGCATACTTCACTTCTAAGTGGGAAATTTCTGATGACGTAATTTTATGTAGTTTCAAAATACTGTCAAACAGATGAAGAAAATTCGGCTTTTTAACCATATTTTAACATTTTTAGCTATTCCCAAGTACAGTTTCATATATTTTCATCCTCTTTCTAATTTTCCAAATGATAGTAATATCTGTCAAATGTTCAAATTTTTTATTACTAAAGGCTTGATGAGTTTAAAATGAAATACAACAATATTTTAAGCACTTTCTTGAACATGAATCCAGGTGCAGACTGTAGTTGCCTATTTAATTCTTTAAAATCAGAATCAGGTAATAATAAAAATTGAAAATTTTGCTCAGACAAAATAAAAAAATCTTCTCTTTTACAGAACCTATATATATATATATATATTCTTCTTTTGAGATATTTCTTCATTCAGTATGATTTTCTTAGGAATCATGGCAAGATTTCTTGTGTTTATCAATAGTTTTGAACTAAATATTTAATTTCACTTCATAAAAAACTTAAAAAGAGGATTCCACTGCTCCATTAGTCTTTCCAGTGCTCTACCAAGCAAGCAACCATGTGTGCACATGCTTTAATTTGTTTCTTTTTTCTCTATTTCCATGAAGCTGCTGAAAGAAATTTAACCTCTCTTTCAATTAGCACTTTCCATAAGTAACATTAAAATTGTATCTATGTTTACTGGTAATGTAACAACTGCTTTTCTGCTGCTAAATTTATTAGGTAACATTGGCATATTAATGATTAATTTCTTTTTTGTATTTTTCACAAAGGCTGTCATACCTTTCCAATGATCAGTCACAACAGCTGCATTAACCCTTTCAGGACATAAATATAATTGAAAGAACCGAAAAACAAACGAACATTTTACAAAAATTTAAACGCTGATTGAAAATTGCCACTGTCATGATAAATTCGGAATGGTTTCTTCAGATACTAATTAATATTTTACCTAGGCTCAAGTATTAATTGTTTTGCATTTCAGAGCAAAATATATAACCATCAACTTCTATATCTCCAACGTATGTAAATGAAATACTACATAAATTAGCTAAGAAATGTGATAAAAATATTTCATACAAGAAATTTACAACAAAATAGCCTTCCAACATTCATATTTGAAATGAGATAACCTAACAAACAACATACACAACTGGCAATATCAAAAAAAAAAAAAAAAAAAACATAAACTATGAAGTGTTTGAAAGTTACCAGAAAAAAAGTAACAGAACTACTATTTCCAATTAGTAAAAAATCATTTAGTAAATAGCAAGCTGTTAAAAGTGCAGTAATTAGTAGCAACGCTGATAATTTTTAACATCATTTCTTTCGATCATATCAGGGTTGCCACGCTACCTGGAAAACCGGGAGAACCGGGAAGTCAGGGAATTCGAAAATACGCATTCCCTAAGAACGTCCCTTACAGCCGGGCATCCCATCCCCGCATCAGTAAAGATCGCATTCAGAGGACGGGTGATGCGTATACGCATTTTAAGGTGGAACGTTTTTCTGAAGGCCACTAGATGGCATCCTGTGTCCATTACTTTTGAAATGAACACAGTTTTAGGTTCCTGACCTTGAGTTTGATATATTCTGCTTGACTTTGATATTTTACTCGTCAGCTGTTCGAGGGAGGGAAAGCGTAAACAGAGGTGGGCTCTTTAAATCACTGCGTGCTAATGAAAACATTCTCGTATCTGATTTATATCCAATGCCTTTTTTTATTCTATTTTTCCCCTCTACTATGTACGGTTTTTTAGGGCTACTGTGCGGAGTTTTTTTTACGTTTTGCATTGCCTTCAGATATATTTCCATTCCTTCTTTTTTTATTTAGGAAAGCCTCACCTCCAGTCTATTATAGCAGGAAGGCACTATTTATCAGAGGAAGAATACCTTCGTATGGTTAGTGAACCATTTACTAATGCAAATGAGAGTACTGATTCATTTTCTAAAGAGTTAAAAAGTGATACTTTTTCTAAGAGTTACAAAGTGATACTTCTCTGTGCTTTGATATTTACCACACTCGGTTTCATTTTAAATTTTGTTACTTCTTACTGTAAATAGTCTTTATTGCATTCTTTTTATTAATTTTAAACTTTATTGATGGATTTTATCAATTAAAACTTTGGAATAATTTGAATAGCACTTCCGACAATTATTTTAGAAAATAAGCAATTTTTTAAGTATATTTTCATGTAAAATAAAGAAAAAAATATTTTAAGGGCTAATTTTAACATATATAAGAGCTCAAGTAATAATCTAAAATGATACCAAAAATTACGATGCTAGAAGTGAAACTTTTGTTTTTCTGATTTTTGTTATAAAATTAGGCTTAGCAATGCAAAACCTCCGTCCTGTATGGTGACTGCCTTCGATTCTCTTCCGTCCCACACGAGCGTCTTAAACAAAGGTGCGCCATCGCGAAAAGGTTAAACTGCACAGGGGGAGAAAAACACATATAGGATTATTTAATTTACTTATTTCATTAATAACCTTCACTAAAATATTCCAACCAGTTGAGTAACCAACTAAATTAGAAAGATAAACAGTATTTTTTATTTCCTCCTTTCTGTCATTAAAATAAGTTTCAACAACTTACAATATTCACTTTATCACTTTCACTGCTTCTAACAAAAAAGAGAAAGCAGATTTTTGCATACTACTTAACACGTCTTTTACAACTAACATTAACCACCTCATTTAAGAATGGCAGAAGTTTTCGATCTAGTACATGAATATTTCTTAGCTACATCTGAATCAGGATACATCTTAGAGGAGACAATGTAGATTTGCAGCATTCAAAGCAGTATTGTTTTCAACTAAAAACTGAGTAAATTGACAATCAGCATGAATAGACTTTTATTGATATTTTCAACATTGGATTTTCATTTTTTAGATTCCAGATGTTTCACAATATCACTTTTTCCACCATGAGATACAAAATTCTATCCATATATGTTCCAAAATGCATAAGTATTTCTCTTATGTCATTCTTTAATGTTTAATACAAAGAAACTCATCCTCATAATCTGGTTTAAAACATTGACAATATTGTTCCTTACTCATTTTACCAAATAAATTTTATCGACAGAGATTAAAACATGTGCAAACAATATTTGACGCCACTTGATGTATCTTGCAATCACCAATTTATATCAGGTTTTCAAGGCTTGCACGACAAAATTTTGCCTAACAAAAATTCAACAAACATGGAAATTAAATATTTTAAAATATGAAAGTGGATATATGCTTTAATTTAATATCATTTTATCATAATATCAGAACTTTACTGATATAGTATTATTATATTAAAAATAAATTGTGAAGAAATTTACAAATCACCAATTCAAATGTTACGAAAATAAACCTTTTTAGAGCCATAAATATTGATCAAT